AAGTAGTCACAGCCCTTTGAGGATTGGTCCAACATGTGCCAGGCTCTGTGCCAGGAAATAAAAATAGATGGTGAGCCAGACAGGCTGTCTGCCTTTGAGGAGCCCACAGTCCAGTGGACGAGAGAGATGTTTAAATAAATCATCATAAAACTACAGGAGAAGTGATAGAATAGAGGTGTATCTGGGGAGCTCTGTGAGCGCTGAGGAGGGAGTGGCCAGTTGCCTCTGAGAAGACATCTGAACTCATGCTTGCCAGAAGATCAAGTTTCCAGGTGGGGAGAAGGAGGAAGGGCATTGGCTCCAGAGTTTTCAAGAGCAAAGACCATTTTTCATTTTTTCTATCATAATCTCCAGCTCCTAAAGAGGCTGGCCCACAGCAGATGCTCAGTCAATGTTTGCTGAACGATTTTGTGAATTCTAGTGGAAAGAATTTGTAAGAAACAGAGTTGCAAAGAAAATTACAATAATTTTGACAATGGCAGTGTGGATAGAGGAGAGAGATGGCTTAAGGCATATTTAGAATGTACTGAACTGTTTGGAGGGAAACAGGGGTGTTGCAGATAGTTCTTTTGCTAATTGGGTTAGCTGAGTGCAGGTAACTTGTGTTAATGGATTTGTATTCTCAGTGCCTGGTGCTTGGTTGATGGAATGCTATTGCCTGCAAGCAAGGCTACAGGAGAAGCAGTGATTTGGGAGTGTTGAGGCGAGATGAAAGTGAGACTGGAGGACACTCTGAGAGAACTGCCATTCAGTGTTGCACTTATGGGAAGAGAGGGGGCAGGGGAAGAGAGAAGTGGAAATGGAGACGATAGAGATATATAGAGAGACCTAGACTAGGTATGCAGATTTGTAAGTTATCAGTTTGTAGATAATATCCAAATGTATGGAATCATATGACCTTTCCCAAGGAGAATGTTTAGAGTGAGAAGACATCTGAGTTGGAATGACAGACATGACACACTAAAGGAACAGATGGAGGAAGGGGACGGCAAAGGAGCCAGCAGGGAAATGGGAATAGAATGAAAGTGGATGGTTTTTTAGCCATGTAGGGAGAAAGTCTTGAGGAGAAAGGAGAATCAACACCATCAGAGTCTTCAGAGAAGACCAGTAGAATGTGGAATGAACACAGGCCAGATTTGGCCGTTAGGAAGGCACTAGAAATCTTAGTGAGCAGGTTGGATGGACAGTTGCAGGCAGATGAACCAGAGAGAGATGGGTTGAGAGGTTGAGAAGTGAATAATAAGGGAAGAAGTAGAAGCTGTGAGGGTGGACAACTTCCCAGAAGTAGACGTGTGTTTCTATGAGTGTATTGGTAAAGAGAAGAAAGGCAAGTATCGGTCATTTGCATGAGAGCTGGGATGGGAGATTATTCTCTAATAAATTGTAAAGACTTAGACTCATGTGGGCTCTTTCAATTGAAAGAGAAAAATTTAAGATACCAAAGAGAAGGAGTGAAGTCCTGGAAAAGATGGAAGGGGTGGAACCAACATTCAAGATGGCAGAATCTCAGAGGAAACCTCTGAGAGAGGACGGGCAGAGAGACAGAGGAGGAAAGATACAAAAGGCAGGGACTGGAGATGAAGGAGTTCACTTATGATGTCTTCCATTTGGGGAGATAAGGGAAAGAGGAGACAAGGTCACTTGCTCAGAGGAGAGGGAATGGGTCCTGACCTCAAGAGGCATCGTGAAGATTTGGAACCAAGGTCTTACAGAGATTGGAAATAGAAATTCCCGTGATGTGGTATGCTGTGTTCCCTGGAAGCTCTCAGTGGCCATATGAAGGCATGGAGAGGGCATCGGGAATCGGCAGGTTGGAGACGCTGGAGGGAAAAGGAGTGTTGGGAAATGAGTCTACTGGTGAGAGTGACATTGAAATGACTGACTGTGGGGTGTGGAGGGATAGAGGATGAACACAGGACAAGTCTGATAGACTTTGATGAGGAGAAAAGTTAGAGGACTGGCTACACAAAGGGGTGTGAGAAGGAGCTTGATTCCAGATCACCTGCAAAGTGGAGCATCGGCCTCAGGACCTCAGACATGGAGCTCACATTTGACAGCTCTGACACCTCTGTGCACATCTTTCCATAGTCTTTGGGATATCTTTCCCTATCCGAGTCCACTGGGCCCCTTGAGCCCAAGTTTCGACTGCTTTGAAACACACTTGCTTCTCCCTTTGAGGTGCCCCTACCTGGACCCCTCAAAGGGATTTACAAATGCCATGTGGTCTGTGTTTTAAGTCAGATGGTTTCAATCATTTTCTTCCAATTTGGTGAAAATGTCTATCCGGCTCTTTTCACAGACAAAGAGGAACCTAATTCTACATAGTTATTGATAATCTCTAATTGTTTTTATTTTACATGTGGTCATTTCATTTTCATAACTCAATGGTACGTTAATTGAAAACAAGAATGTCTCACATGCCCTTGCTTGCATAGCCCATTCCACGTGGCCTGCTGCTGGCATATGGCAGGGCACTCAATAATTCTTAGCATGTAGCTGAACTTGTTTACTGAGGAGATCCTTACTAGTGTTTAAAGAAATGTCAAAATTACCATTAATCATGGAGAGAATTTGCTTAAAGATGAAATGATTCATTAAGTAATTCAGTAGATCTGATTGACTGTCTTCCTTGTGCCAGGCCCCATGCTAAATACTGGGGATGAGAAAAGACCCTGCCCATTTTCCCAGCATCAGGGAACTTATAGTTGTGCAGAGGACACAGGTACATACAGATAATTGCAGCCCACTGTGGAAAGGCCTTGGGTTATTCAAGAAGGGATATGAGTACACAGAGTAAAGATGGCGTGTCTCAGGCTGGGGTCAGGAAAGGCTTGGGCAGAGTTGATGATATTTGAGTTGGGCCAAGAAAGACAAGTAGAATTCCGGCAGACAGGGAAGGGAGAGATGAACAGACTGGGCAAGAAGAAGAGACTGTCCAAGGGTGTGAGGACTGGAGGGTGCTGTGGGCTTTGGAAACATCAGGCTGAGGTGCCTTTGGGAGCGTGACAAGAAGTCAGGCCAGAAAGGCAGGTGGGGCCAGGCCCAATGCCAATATAAGGAGTGCCAGCCCAAGTTTTCAAACTTTAGCCCAGAAAGACTTAACCAGCCAAAGTCTCACTGGAATGCTGTAAATAAAACAGACAACAGCCCAGCAGATCTGGTTGGGAATAGAGGGTGCAGAGGCCCACCTGCTCAGCTCCTTCTAGATCTGATGCCCTCTCCTCTCAGCACCTGACATGATGAGGGAGGGGCCTCAGAGGAACCCTTGGGATTTTGAGGGGTGATTTGAAAAACACTGCTGTGGCAATTGGGGAAGAAGTGGATGACTATTAAAAACAGGGGAGATGTGCTCAGCTAGATCAGTGGTGTAGAAAGGTAAGAAGCAGGAGAGGTTTGAACATGTTAGAAGAGACCACAGCAGTCGTAGATGAGAGAGGAGTCCAGCCTGTCTGAGGGCAGAATGGAGGAGTGGAGAGGACGCATTGCATTCAAGAGCTCACCACGTTAATGTGGAATCTGCATTAATTAGAGACTAGATATAGGCGACCAACCAGAGAGAGAGAATCGTGGGAAGACCAAAGGACTTTGGGAACCAGTGTCCCAGGGATTGAAGTGGTCGGTGTGGCAGAGCCCTACTTACGACAGAGGGAAAATCAGGCAGGACGGAGCTGAAGCTGTGACCTGTCTTTTGAACCTGCAGGAAATGAAGGGCATGGGGGCAAGTGGGAGAAGAGGTAGCCAGCGATTGGCCTGATTTGTAAACTAACCTTGCTCCACCACTGGGGTGGGGAAATTAGAGGGCCAAGTGCTGACAGGGCTGGGGTGGAACTGGTCCACACATGCTTTGCTGGAGGCAGTATAATTTGGAAAAATATTTTTGGAAAGCAATTTGCATACCATCAAGTCGTAAAAATGTTCAAACCACTTGACCTGGTAATTCTACTTGTGGAAATTTGCCCTAAGGAAATAGTTCAAAAGAACGAAAAGCCTATGTTCATCCATCCAAATGTTAATTAATTAATTAAGCAATTAATTAGAAATTACACATTGCACCACATAATTCCAAGAGCTCTGCTAGGTGAATGAACATGTTCTCTGTGGCAATGTTGATCATAGTAAACCATAGTAAGCAACGTAAATAATTAAAAATGCCTCAATGGTTTAATACAGTGAGAGACCCATGTGAATGTGATAGACAATCAGGCTTTAATACGATATGACACAAGCAGAATTCAAAATGGCCTGCTTGCTGCTGTGGTTAAGAGCACATTCTCTTGAGTTTACTGCCTGGACTTGAACTCTGACTGTACCAGGCCCTGCCGCTGACCTCGGCAAGTTCATCAGTGCCTCTAGGGCTCAGTGTTTTTAGTATTAAAGTGTGTATAATGATACTACCACTTCATGGGGTTGCTGTCTAGATTAGATGAAAAAAGGTGTGCAAGGGCTTAGCACAATTTCTAGCACACAACACATACTCAGTAAAAACAAGTTATTTTATTTATTTTATTTTTTTGAGGAAGATTAGCCCTGAGCGAACTACTGCCAATCCTCTTCTTTTTGCTGAGGAAGACTGGCCCTGAACTAACATCTATGCCCATCTTCCTCTACTTTGTATGTGGGATGCCTACCACAGCATGGCTTTTGCCAAGCGGTGCCATGTCTGCACCTGGGATCCAGACCGGAGGACCCCGGGCCACCGAGAAGCAGGAACGTGTGAAATTAACTGCTGTGCCGCTGGGTCGGTGCCACAAGTTATTTTAAATATGTAAAAATGTGGGTCAGTGGAAAAAGGCTGACAGAGACTGCTCCAAATTTGTAGCCCCAGGAAATATTATGGGTGATTGTCCACTATATTTCGTTTAATATCATTTGTTTAGTACCTAAAAGCTTTGAGGCTGTAAGCAACATAGACAATCCAGAAATAGGCAAAGTGCCCTGGCCTATTAGTTCATCCAGCGGAAGCCATGGTGATGGGCAGGTCCTGGTTTTTCTCTTCCCAGCCGTGTTTGGTCAGCGCTTGGATGAGACCGTGGCTTATGAGCAGAAATTTGGCCCCCACCTGGTGCCCATCCTGGTGGAGAAGTGTGCAGAATTCATCCTGGAGCATGGCCTGAATGAAGAGGGCATCTTCCGCCTGCCCGGGCAGGACAACCTGGTGAAGCAGCTGAGAGATGCTTTTGACGCCGGGGAGCGGCCCTCCTTTGACAGGTATGCTGTCCTCACCTCACCCTCTCCTCTGTCTTGCTCGAGTGAGAAGACCTCTCTATTCCAGTTGAGCAATGGGACTTGCACAGACACTTCCAAGAGCCCTAGCTTGCAACAGAAGGAGCCTTTTGTTGTGCTCATAATCAGAATTTGGGAGCCTGGAGCACAGTTAGGAGAGTATGCTGATCATTTATGTGATAGATGATGTGAACTAGAACTAGAGCCTTGCTGGACAGTCAAGAGATGTTTAAGATATTGGGGTGGGAAAAATGGAGAGTAGTGGAGAAAGATGGGCCCTAACTCCAGGTCCACCCTTCTGAGCAGATGAGAAATGCTGGCTGTAGAACAGACTCGGTGTGGTGGAGAACGCACCATATCTATATCCAAGGGCTCCAATGGTCTTCCTCAGCTTTCCAGAAATGGCCAGAACCAGGACTTCCTGTTAGTTTGGGAGGTCACAGTACTGTGCATTGCTGAACTTAGCCCTGAGCCCTTTTGGAGGGAGTACATACTGACACTTTGGTAGCCTGGCATTCTCCCAAGTCTCCTGTGTGGAGGTTGCAGGGCCTGTTTGGGGCATATCAGGTATAGTGACATTTCTGCCCACCATCCCCCTCCCACCCCACCTCCTCCAGTCACCCAGCCGAGGTTTTCTTCTCTGCCATGCCCAGCTGGTACAACCCCCACCCTGACATTGTACATGCTCTGCTATTGTGCAATGTTCGCCCTGGATGCCTGCATGCGCTTGTCTTCTTGGCAAGAAGGAGACATTGTTCTTTCCAAATAAGCAGCCCATAGACCAAGGTTTAGTAAGACAGGCCTGAACTCTGTCCAGTTTCCAAAGGCTGAAATTCCCCAAGAGTTTATTGAGGACCCAGGAGTAGAGCTGATCCTGGGAAAGTCATGACCAGCTAAGTGTCATCTGTGTGGACAGTCTAATTGCTCGCTCTCCCTCACCTCCCACTCCAGTCACCAACGCTGTCCATTCTCTCTCCAAAGTATTTCTGAGACCCATCTGTTTCTTTCCATTCTCACAGCCACTGTCTTAGTTTGGCCCACCATATGTCTGTCGTCGCTGCCCTTGGAATGTACTAGGTTAATTTACCAAGGGTGCTGTATTTTAACAGGAAAGCAAGGGTGGAGTTGTTACTAGAACTGTAGCAGGGTATGCCATCAAATTTAAGGACCTTTCAGCAGTAGCGTAAATTGCGCTTAATTATCAGGCGTCTGTTCAATCAAGCATACCACCTTTATATTCTGTTTTCTTTTTACGTTTTTAATTAGCTTTGAGTTGATCAAAAGATACAGGTGGGTGGTTGCTAAAGCACTGGGAACAGTCAGCCAGGAGGGATAGAGGTGATGGTGGCGTGTCTGCCACCCTAGACTTGAGCTTCTGCACCTATCAAGTCAGCCTGGGGAGCGGAGTCGGCGTCTGGTTCCTGTGAGGTACTTGGGGCTGGAAGGAGGAAAGTTACCACACGTTGTCATGACGTCTCCACCCCCAGAACTGAGGGCTAGAGTTTACACATCCAAAAATAGGAAGGGCCACCTGGGGCTCTTCAGGGTCCTCCCAGGGTGACTCTTGGGTCAACTTGAGCCTGCTGGGTACTCATCTGGACCCTTTACATCGATCATACGCTTGGTTCCATCATGAGATCCCCTAAATTGCCTCGCTAGAGTAGAGAAGAACAAAGGAGCTCTTATTTGGTAGATTTGAGTGCAGGTGTATCTGCTTCTCATTAAACATGAATAAGAATTAAAAAATCTCCTTGTGGAGTTTCCACTGGGCTGGATACTCCTTGGCTGCAAAACTGATACACTTCCAATACCTACACTTCTGTGAGAAACACATACAGGCAGGCCGCACTGTAAGATGGGTGCTACCAGGGAAGGGCGGGCAGAGTCGGCCAAGGGGCCTGGGCTGATCTCTGGTGGATCAAGTGGTGAACTCAGAGGCCTCCCAGCTCCTGACTTGCTCTTAGTCCTTGATTTAAAAAAATCATCTAAAGATGTTGGAGGAAAAGCAAACCCAGGGAAAATCATGCTGGAAATTTAGGCTATAACCATGGCATCTGGGTCAGCCTTGTTATAATGAGGGCACAGATATTAAACCAAAAATTTACAGAAATGCCTGTATAATTCCCATTGTGTTAAGTGCTAAAAAGGAAAACTAGATGGTACCATGAGAACTTAGGATGAGGGGCTTTTGATATGGTCTGGTGGATTTAGGGAGGTCTCCAAGAAAAGGACATTTAAGCTGAGACACAATAAACAAGCATGAGGGTTAGCCAGTCCAAGCAGCATTATCTTCTCCTGGTAAAATGGATTGGGAAGCTTGCTGTGGGTTTCACTGTTCTAAAAGATGGTTTCTATAGCCAACTGTGTTCTTTGACTATAGCTTTGAAGTGTGTATACTGTATCTGTGGTTATAACACCTTTGTCTTTTCTAACGTTGAATATTTTTGCTGTCTTCGTTTCTCCTGGTTAAACTATCCAGTAGTTTGTCTTTTTTATTGTTGTTTCTCTTCAAAAGATTCCATGTTTTGAGGTATCGTCTATACTGTTGTTCTCATTCCAGATTTTTTGGGTTTTGCTTTCATTCTGTGGGTGTGTTTTGAGTGTTGAGGGCTGTGCCAGGCAATGGACCGTACATTGGATAATGGAACCCTGGAGGCAGGAGGCCGGATGGGAGGCTGGGGCAGAATTCCTGGTAAAAGACGCCACCCTCCTGAAATAGGGCAGTGAAAGGAGGGGAGGAACATTGAGGGGTTCACTGACATTTGGGTAGTAGAATTGAGGGGGATTGGGAGACTAATTGGATGTGAGGTGAAAGAGAGCCCCCCATTAAACCAGAGAGCCTGGATTCTGAAACTTGTTGTGTATTTTCACAAGGGTGTGTTTTTAGGCAGTGACTCAGCAGGGAAAGGCTTTTCCAGAATCCACGTATAAAGTGAAGGTTCCCACCCTGGATTTCCTGAGGGCAGCCGTGGAGCCTAAACGGGGCCGTGTGCCAGCTCGAGGTCTCCTTTGAGGTAGAGAGTTCACAGGCTGCAGAAGGGGAGCCTTTTCACAAGACAGCTCCAACCACTGGGTGTTGAAAACAAAACATAAAAATTGTCATCAAACGCCAAGACCGAGTTTTACCGTCAAGTCCTGTTGTTCTTGTTTCTGCTGCCTCAAATGCCTCTCTTCTCCTCCTCCAGCTCGAATGCACCCCTCCCGTCCCTCCTCCAGGGGGCATTTCCACCCAGCCGATTCTAAATTCCCCATCGCTGAAACAGAGGAGACACTCAGAGTGTCTGAACTTCTTACTACATCACAGCTTTTCAAAATACTGCCAGGACTGCCTCTTAATACCAGTTTTTCTTGATATGAAATAAATAAAGATTTCTTCACTAATGAGCTTCAAGTGTATGGTAGATTCAGACATTTTCTCTTATAGAATTGCAGAATAAATGCAATAGTTCTATAAACCAGGGGTCAGCCAACTTCTCTTAAAGGGCCACGTACGAAATATTTAGGTTTTGCGGGTCAGATCGTTTCTGCCGCAGCTACTCAACTCTGGTCTTAGAACATGAAATCTGCCAAAGACGATACAAAAACGAACAAGCATAGCTGTGTTCCTGTATCACTTTATTTATGGAGGCTGAAATTCGAATTTCATACCAGTTTCACATGCCGTGAAATGTTCTTCCTTTCAGTTTTTTTCCCCAACTGTTTGGAAATATAAAATCCATTCTTAGCTCACAGGCTGTACAAATACAGGTAATGGGCCAGATTTGTCCCCTGGCCAGGGTATGCTGACCCCTCTGCTGTAAACCAGAGAGGCTGGGCTGAAATGCCAGTGCCTCTTCCAGCAAAATCAGGCAATCGCAGGACTGTTTTCTCAGTCCCTGCAGCAGGGCCTCCTCTCCACCCTCCGGGCTGACACGTACGCTGCCTGCACCATGCTGGAACTCCTCGTCATTCTTCCGATCCTGTCTGATGAGTCTCCTGTGGCTCCCCGACTCTGCATTGGGTGTCCCTTCCCCACATTTCCACATGGTCCCAGGTCCTGGACACCCCCCGTCATCACACTAACCATGCAGTCTCGTAATAACTTGGTAATGTTTGACTCTGTGCAGCTCTGTGGCTCAGTGAGGCCAGGTATCCTGTGTGTTGTTCGGGTTCACTGCTGAAATCCCAGTGCCTGACATAGTATCTTGCACCTGATAGGTTCTCTCAATGCTTATTGATTGAATGAATGATTGATTACACAAATATACAGATGAATCTCAGAACTACTTTAAACTCTCTGAGGGATTAAAGAGATCAATGAACCATAGATATCAAGGAGTTATCACATGAAAAATTAGAGACTAAGTAAAGAATGCTAAATTATTAGGTTCTAAGTGACTTGGAGAAAGAATAAAGCCAGGAAGATGAAAATAGTTTCCACTTTAGAAAAAGTAGCCCTTGGGGGCTGGCCCCGTGGCCGAGTGGTTAAGTTCGCGCGCTCCGCAGCAGGCGGCCCAGTGTTTCGTTGGTTCGAATTCTGGGCGCGGACATGGCACTGCTCATCAGACCACGCTGAGGCAGCGTCCCACATGCCGCAACTAGAAGAACCCACAACGAAGAATACACAACTATGTACCGGGGGACTTTGGGGAGAAAAAGGAAAAAATAAAATCTTAAAAAAAAAAAAAAAAAAAAAGAAAAAGTAGCCCTTGAACTTATCTTTCAGACAGTTAGGTGGAAGAGATAAAGGAAAAAATGTTGAGCATTATTAATCCAGAAGGGGGATTAGCAAAAACATTTTGGTTGGATACATCTTTATTGGACTCAACTCCTCTGTAAAAAACTCCCCTTTGGAACCTGGGATTCTATTCAGTGGATCACCAGGGGGGAGGTGTGGAGAGTTCTGGAGTTTCACTTTCAAAAAGCATTGCTTATTTTCTTCCAGAGATACAGATGTGCACACAGTGGCCTCCCTGTTAAAGCTCTACCTCCGAGACCTCCCAGAGCCAGTGGTTCCCTGGAGCCAGTATGAGGGGTTCTTGCTTTGTGGGCAGCTCATGAATGCAGATGAGACAAAGGTTTGTATCTCATTAGGGGTAGTTGTCCTGCTTCAGAAGAAAGTGATTGTTACTGAACACTATTCTGGGAGGCAGGCAACAGTGGATCAGGGGGCTCCCTACCTTTTTGTGAGGTACTTCATCACCCTGGAACTTCCTCAGCAACGAAAGGCAAAGGAAGCCAAGTATGGCGATAGTCTTCGTGGGATCTAATGATCCCTAATAAAGAATTGGACTATAATCAGATACCCCCAAGTCACTTTAAAATTAGTAAGAGAAGGAGGATGCTTCTCAGAAGGGTTTCAAGCAACATGACCTTGCCGAGACGCACTGGGACACAAGGACAGGCTGACCAACCTTGAGGACAGGTGAGATGTTAGAATGTTCTGGCTCTGTGATGACCATGAGTGTCAGGTATGGGCATAAAAGGAATTCATGTGCCAGGGAGAGGAAGGACAGGGAGGTTTTCTTTGTTCCTTTCAGCTGCAGCTGCCTGTAGGGTCTGTAGTCACTGTCTGCGGCATCAAGCTTGTTAGAGTGCACGAGTTCACCGGCAGGATTTTTGATCGTATATAAATTGTTTCCTGAAAGGCCTTATAGTCAACAGTCACCACACTGGAGTCATGTTAATTAAACAAACTAACCAACTAACAAAAGAAACCAATAAAACCCAACTAGCAACAATAAAGCCTTCATGGTTTTCAACCAAAATTTGCAAAACCAAATGGCCCATGAATGCATTTATGTTAGGCTGCTAACACAGGGGGCTAACTGCCCACTTTTGGGAGGTTAGTTTTTAGCACTACTATGTTAAAAGCTCTCTCTGGCAAAGTGATGCACAGACAAACCCGCAATAAAGACCTGGATTTAACTTTGATTTTGGCATGAGGCAAATCATGCCTCTTCCATGAGACTTAGCTTATTTACTTAGTCCAATAGAATTTTCTACAAGATAGAACTGTTAGATAGCTTCACCTTTCAATATGATAACCACAAGCCACACATGGCCACTGGGTGCTTGAAATGTGGCTGGTGCAAGTGAGGAACAAAATTCCTAATTTAATTTATTTTAATTTAACTTAAATTTAAATAATTTCGTGTGGCAAGTAGCTATTGCATTGGATGGCACCAACTTAGCCAAATTTCGTAATAACATCTGCTCTACTCAGATTTGTTTTGAGGACCAAGGGACATGGTACAAGTAAGTGACATTTTAAAATTATTGGTTTAAGGGGAGATTTATTCTCTATTGTACTTCAAAATTTTTTATATAGTATACTCTCAGAAAACTATGTATATATATTTTTAAAAATCAGTGGCTAGCACCCTAGCCCTGGAAGAAAGCGCAGCCATGGGAACTTCTGTCCTGACTAAGAGGGAGGACCTCACGAATTAAGTGGATCCTGACCCAAGAAAAAAGGCGACTTTCTATTTCAACATTAGGAAAGAAGAGAATGATAATGTTGTAGCCAACATGCTGTAGTGATTGTAGCTGTTTTCCAACACAAAAACTAGATCTGATTTAGAATATTTTGTGCATGATTTATGAGTTTTTTTGTGAAGGGGAGAAGAGGCTATAGAAAGCCTTAATTTATACAGCCATATCAGCTCCCTTTTGTGAAAGGAATAATATTTTATGGAATAAGGTTTAAAAGTGGGCTAAAAAGATCAGTGTTTCAGCTGGCATCTCAGCCCACAGCTCCAGGGCGAGGAAAGGAGGCGCATAGATGTAGTTCTGACAATGAGACTGCCACCCCTGACTTCCCTGCTCTGGACCAGTTTCTCCCGACTTTTCTCAATCTCAGCATATCTGAGGGTTTCTATCTACGGTAACGCACATCTAGACAGGGCAGAGGGACCACAGCCTCCCTCATGGGTGAAAATGTGGCAGAGGCAGTAGCCGAGAGGGCTGAGTCTATACCAACCTTTGCAAAGAATTCACTTAACTAAACTGAAGAGGAGGAAAACTCAGTATGAAGCGGGTCCTCTGGATACACAGGGTCTGCACCAAGTCACAGCATGCCGGCCGACGGGCCATAGGGCACATTTTCTCCAGGAGATGCTCAGGTTGAGGAGAGCCTGCGTGCCTCACGGGAACTGGTGCACTTTACAATTGTGATGTTACAGACGGTGACTACAGACGGTGACTACAGACCCTACAGGCAGCTGCAGGTGAAAAGAACAAAGAAATGCTTCCTGTCCTTCTTCTCCTTGGCACACGCATCCCTTGCATGACAGTCTCTGACACTTATGGGTCATCACAGAGCTAGAACTTTCAGACCTCTCACCTGCCTTTTAGATCGATCAGCCTGTCCTTGTGTCCCAGTGGGTCTCAGCAAGGCCATATTGCTTGAAACCCTTCTCAGAAGCATCCTCCTTCTCTCAGAACTTTTAAAGTGACCTGGGAGTTTTTGCTTAGGGTCCACTTCTTTATTGGAGTGTTACATCTGAAGCATTCATTAAGTAAACAATTATCGTGAATATGAGTCGTCAATAGTCCTGGCTTAGAGTAGCTCCCAAGTCGGGGAAGGGGGCATCATTATAGACAAATAAAAAAAACACACTATACAAAAAACTATGAGCCTCTCTCCATTATTTTTATTGCAATTTTCTGTAAATTTATAGTTATTTCAAAATAAAAAGTTTTTAAAAATCCCACGAAACAATGGGAACAGGAGTGACTGCCAAATTGTTGCGTCCACACAGAAACACCATTATGTTCTAGGGGCTCTGCTGGCAAGTGAGCAGGCTCGTTTACTGGTGTTAAAAATCTCTTCCCAGGCTCAGCAGGAGTTGATGAAGCAGCTCTCCATCCTTCCTCGAGACAACTACAGCCTCCTGAGCTACATCTGCAGGTGAGGGTCCCCGGGATCAGCTCCACAGTTTTCGGGCACCTCAGAAAGAAGCTCATGGTTAGAGGAGGAGAGCGCCTCTGGGACCTCAGAGATGCTGATTCAGATCTTTGGAAGGTCAACTCTATTCGCATAGCACTGAGGTAGTTTCCTGTGTCCACAGGATAATTTAAAGGATCCCCTGAAAATCTGATCAGCACAAAAAATGAACCAGTTTCCTCCTTCAGGCCTGCCGTAGTGCCACCCAGAGTCCTGGGACATGCAGCAGAGCCCAGAATCCTTACAATGTTTCTAGAATCATTTCTCATCTTCCTGATTCTGGGCTGTAGCTTAGCATCCCAGAGACATTCATTCTGGGCCACTGTTTTTATTTCCTTTTCTGAGGACATACTGTGTGCCATCTCTGTGGCAATATGTAGTGTATGGATTGACCCAGACCTGGCTGAGTTGGGAGCCTGGAGCTCCATGTCAGACACAGCTGAAAGTTATCTTTATTTTTAAAAAAATAATTTGTTGTAGTTTCCAAATTATAAAAATGATACATGCTTGATTTGGAAACCAGGAAAATACAACATGCTATAAATAAGAAATAAAAATTACCCACAATCCCCTCACCTAGCAAAAATCACTATTAACACTTGGATATGTGTCCTGCTGGATGTTTCTTTTCTCTATGGTAGATCTTTACACACATCAATATAAATACAGGGGAACAATTTTTTATACCAAATTGAAATTATATGTATATGTATTTGTATCCTGCTTTTTTTGGCTTCGTGTTATATTGTGAGCATTTCCCTGTGTCATAAAATAGGATTATAAATGACTCCATAATATTCCATATTGTTTCTTCATTTGGACACACCACCATTTATTTCATCATTTCTCTGTGTTTGGAATTTTATGTTGCTTCAGCCTATCCATTTAAAAAAGGTTTTTAGAGAGAGTATTTAGAAATTCCTTTCCTCATCTGTTCAGTTTATTTAATAGTGAATCTGAGAGCTTCATTCCTCAAATAGGTGGAAGTATAGTAAAAATTCTTCGTCAGTTATTGAGCACCTGCTGAGAATTCAAGGTGCTCGATGCTGTAATCAGAGGATGAGAGCAAGGAGGCACCATAGGTTCCAGTCTCTGAGATCTTCTCATGATAAAGTTTTCTCCTCTGGAGACTTGGGTGGGAGGGGTGCTGAGAGCCTGGGAGATACGCCTAGAAAGTCGGGACAAGAAGACAGTCAAGGGGCCAGCCCGGTGGCGCAGCAGTTAAGTGCACACATTCCACTTCAGCAGCCTGGGGTTCGCCGGTTTGGATCCTGGGTGTGGACATGGCACCGCTTGGCAAGCCATGCTGTGGTAGGCATCCCACATATAAAGTAAAGGAAGATGGGCACAGACATTAGCTCAGAGCCAGTCTTCCTCAGTAAAAAGAGGAGGATTGGCAGCAGTTAGCTCAGGGCTAATCTTCCTCAAGAAGAAAAATAAAAAGAGGGCAGTCAAATAGTCATTTTAGTCCTTCTAATCTCCTCTTAGCTCCCTGAACTGGATCCTGCCTCCCACTGAGGTGACTCCTCTCCCCTCCCCATCCCTGGCCCAATGCCACCACTAGCAGTTGAGCAGGCCCCTCCTGGATTTTCTGCTTCCTTAGTCTTAAATCTTTCAGGGCAAAGCTTAACTCTTATTGGCAGAGCAGGCTGGTTCCACTCCTGAGACCAGGGGGAAAGAGTTGGGATCCATCTCTGAGATCTCACTGGTACCTGGATGTGCTTGCTTCTGGCAACTTCCTATTTCCTACTCTGGGATTTCCTGGCTGCCCACAGGTTCCTACATGAAATCCAGCTGAACTGTAGTGTTAACAAGATGAGTGTGGACAACCTGGCTACTGTGATTGGTGTGAATCTCATCAGGTCGAAGGTGGAAGACCCTGCTGTGATCATGCAAGGTACAGCTGGTCCTAAGGTGGAGGCAGGCATGGAGGAAGTAACAACAATTACCACACTGCCCCTTATTTTTTCTGCGCTGTCGCAATTTGCCAAGCATTTTCAGCTGATTATCTTGTCTGAATTGTAAAGCAGCCCTGTGAAGTAGGCAGGGCAGGAATTGTGTCTATTTTCCAGATCGCAGCAGAGCAGAAAAGTTAAGGATTTACCCAATGTCACACAGTACAATAGGCCAGCATGAAAACAGTCAGCTAGTGTTTCTTAGTCTTTTATTACTTTTAAATATCCTTAGCCTGAGAGAGCAAATAGGTTTCATTTTATGAGTCATCTCTCAAAAAGGCTACTTGAAAGCTGTGTTGAAATGACTTCCGAGGCTGTCTTAGTTCAGTGACCAGAAGTTGGCATAAAGTACCGATGTCTGTCGTGGATTTGGGGAGGCAATATGCCAGGCATGTGTTCACTATGTGCACCATAAGAAATCAGATATATTGAGGACCACATCAGGAGAGAAAGATATCTTCATTTTGTCTCCTTTTATATTGCCTATTTTCCTGATCAAAGACTGAGCCAGCGGAGTGTAGACTGAAAATAATTCTCTTTCACCCCACTCCCATATCCATCTTCTATCTCATCCCTTTCACCACAATCTCCTACCCCAAGCAATTAAGAAGGGTCTTGTGAGGAGCAAAATGAGGTCCTTTTGGGCCCTGTGGTTTTACAGCCAAGTTTAGCGACACCCCATGGGTGGAGATCCTTGAGGACTACCTGCCTCCTGCCCCGTGGTCCAGCATAACAGATCTCTTCTTTCTTTCAGGGACTCTTCAAATCCAAAGAGTGATGACCATGATGATCAGAGACCATGAAGTCCTCTTCCCCAAGTCCAAGGATGCACCACTGTCACCCTCTGCCCAGAAAAATGACCCCAAAAAACCTCCAGTGGCTCGAAGCTCTGTGGGCTGGGATGCCACTGAAGATGCCCCAATTTCTAGAACAGACAGCTTTAGTAATACGGTAAGGTGCAGAGGCTTCCTCCTTCCGTCTAACTCTTTCTTTTGTCTAGGTCATTCTGTGTAAGAGCTGCTCTGGGGTGGCAATTTGGGGAATTTTGGATGATCCTATGGCAGTGGGCACAGCTGGTACAGACCCCTGGGCATGCATCTTGAAAGGTTGCCCTCTTTCAAAATTTAGTCTATATTGGCATCCTGGAGGTGGGGTTAGTGACATGTGCCAGTCGCCCAAGGACTGAGCAATGGGAGTCCTCACTGAAGCCCACCCTAAAAGGGAAACCCTTTTAAGCACAATCCAAGGAAGTTCAATGGAGAAATTATATACCACATTGTAAATGTTTTAGTGAGCGTTGTTGAAAATTCCGGGTGAAAGTCCAGAGGGATCTGGTTTCCTGCTAATGCATGAAACGTGATTCCTTTCTCAGAGTATGTGATGTGTTCGTGTAATATTTCTCATTCCCTGATAAGCAGTCTCAGCAATGTCAACCCCCTCATTTGTCCTGAAGGGTTGGGGTTCATGTTCCCAATGTCAAAAAACTCTGCAGACTCTGATATTTAGACTCTTGGAGGACAATAATTTACAAAGCTCAAATATTTTTCCATATTTATAGGGGCAAGTTTCTTTTAAAAGAACGTGAACTTTCTATAGCAACTTGATTCGTTATGTGTGGCAAGAAAAAATTTTAAATTTCTGATTGAGCAGGTAATGTAAGTTCCCCATAGTACTGTTAATCCTGAGGATGATTAACAAAGTACTGAAAAAAAGATAGATAGTGGTAGTGATTGTGATTTTTCCTAGGTGATGTCTATCTGGACACAATGCATCTTACTAACACTCTAAAATTAAATTAATATTTAGAAATGCTCATTCCTCATATAATGAAATCATCCTGGCAGTCCTTGGGAGTAGCCATTGTTCCACTCATTTGACAGGTTCTGCTGTTTATTGTAACAGCATGGGCAGCTATGACAGGCACTGTGCTGGGAAATTTAAGTAGAGCATCTCTGGAGTCCTCACCATGACACTGTAGGGCAGAATTTATCATCTACACTTCATGGCCGAGGAGCTCGGCTCAGGGAGGTTGACCAGCAGGCCCAAGGTGGCAGCACTAGAAGGGATACAAGAATGAGATTTAGATCTGGTTCTCATCCCAAGGCCTGGGAACTTCTGGCTCCAGATGGGGTTGCTGAAGCAGGTGATTCGCTAGAAGGGTTAGAAGGAGCCCTTGAGCCCTGATTTTCTGATTTTACATTTAGGGCTCATTATTTTTCTTTTTAATTTAATTAAAAAATATATTCACATGGTTCAAAAAAGATTGAAAACTTAGAAAAAGATATACGTGAGAAGTCGTGCTCCCTCTGCTGTCTCCACCCACCCGATCCTTCCCTGCCTTTATTAATTTCTTGTTTATCCTTCCAGTGTTCCTTCAGACAAATCTAAGCAGATACAGTTGTACATTGTTATTTACTTTCCTTTTTACATAAAATTTAGCATAATCTCTCATTCTCTCTTTCCACACACACACACAATAATCTGTATCTTGCGTTTTTCTACTTAATGGCATATCCTGGAGACTTTTTCATGTCAGTACATAGACAGCTGTCTCCTATGACCTCGTGTTTTTGCAGGTGTGTAATGTTCCATTTGTACATGTAATCTGCTTAATCAGCCCTGCAACCAGCCCCCACAGAGGACCAAGTCGTTTTCAGTCCTTTGTACTACAAACACGGCTGCAATGAATAACCTTGACTGTGCTTCATCTTGTACTCAGGCAGGTGTACTTCTGGGACAAATTCCCAGAAGTGGGATTGCTGAGTCAGAGAGTAAATAGATCTGGAATGTGTAATTTTGATTAAAATTGCTGAATAGAGATTGTGCCATTTTGTACTTCCACCAGCAATGTGTGAAAGAACCTGTTTTCCTATGGTTTCACCAGCAGGGGGTGTTGTCAAATTTGGGGGAGGTTGCTCATCTGATAGGTGAGAAGTGGTATTTCAGTAATTTTCATATTAATTTGAGTTTCTCATTTTGTGAGAGAGGCTGAACACCTTTTCTTATAGTAAGGGCCAGTTGCATTTTTCCCTCTCTGAACTGTCTGATCTTGTCCTTTGCCCATATTTTTATTGCTTGGTCTTTTTCTTCTCAATTTTTATAGGCTTTATATAATAGGGAGAGTAGCCTGTGATATGTATTGCAAATATTTTTGCCACTTTGTCATTTCCTTTTTGATTTAGTGTGTGGTGATTTCTTTGCTCTGTTTTTGTTCTTTTTATTTTGGTGGGTCATGGAAATCCACAAGTTGAATGTATCAAACTTTTATTTTGGATTTTGAGCCATAGTTAGATGGGCCCCGCCCCCATTCTAAGATTATAACAAAATCCTCATTGAGAACTCTTTTACCACAAACAAACAATTGATTTTAGTCACGACTACACCTCTAGAGTGTGAGTTCCTTCAAGTGTAATGTCCTTTTGAAAAAAATGCCATGCAGATTATCAACTAATGTGACAAATTAAGAGATGGTGTCCTAATTAAGATTTTCATGGGGGTGCAACCAGGACATGCTTTCTTTCAAATCTCTAATCTTTATCTTGGGAGCATGACCTATGTGGGAAAAACCCTTGTAACATTCATGGCCATTTTTTTCTAGACCAGTGACTCGGACACAACCAGCCCCACTGGACAGCGGCCGAGTGATGAGTATCTAGAAGACAACGGCAAAGCCCCCAGGGAAAAGCCAGGAGATTGGAAGTTGCAGTCTCGAAAAAGGACTCAGACGCTCCCTAACCGGAAATGCTTCTTGACATCAGCTTTTCAAGGTGCCAACAGTAGCAAAGTGGAGATCTTTAAAAATGAGTTCTGGTCACCTTCTTCAGAGGTGAAGGCAGGGGAAGGGCACAGGAGAACGATGTCTCAAGGTGTTCCACAACTTTCTGACCCCCAGCGGACTTCCACCTATGATAATGTCCCTGCCCTGCCCGGGTCCCCCAGGGACGAAGCAGGTGCACTCTCTCCCCATGCCTGTGACCCCAAGAGAGACACTTTTGCCAGCCCAACCTCTGAAACCGGACCTGGAAGAAAGAACTCTGGAGAAGAGGACCCTGAATCTTTGCAGAGGGTGGTCCAGGAGCTACGAAAGGAAATCGAAACACAGAAGCAAATGTATGAGGAACAGATTGAGAAGTAAGTCACATGCAGAGGGCCCGGGGCAGCCACTGGCTTCCATCTTTAGAAGCAAGGGGAATTGTTCTCATCTGCCAAAGTAGTGACGTTATAAAACTTCAATTTAGAGAATACAGTGATCAACAGCAATTGGGCCTAATAAGAAAGAGGGTAAAGGGAGTAATGAGATGATGAAATTAGTGAAAACTCTAAACTTTAGATTAAATTCATACAAAGGTAAGTATGTAGCTTAAGTAGCTTAATTAACTATTTCTGAATAGTGGTTCTTTAAAGATCAACAACCTTTAATGAATTAAGAGGAACTTAAAATTTTTTTCATGCTAATGTGACTCATCCATTCTGAAAATATTTATTGAGCACCCACTGTGTGCCAGGCACCATCCCAGCTGTGGGGAACAGCACTGAACAAGAAGTCCAAAGTCCCTGCACTTAGAGAGCTATCCTTCTGTCAGGGACAGACAGACAATACAGATGAGTAATTAATTTGTACACTATTATGCTATGTCAGGTGGCGGAAAATGCTATGGAGAGAAATAAAGCAGGGCAGGGGGATGGAGAGTTCCAGAAGGGGTTCTAATGTTAAGTAGGGTGGTCAGGAAGGCCTCACTGAGGAGGTGACACTTAAGTAAAGGCCTGAAGGAGATGAGGGAACAAGTCAGGCCCACAGAGCGGGGAAGAGCATGCCTGGCAGAGAGAACCAAAGGTGCAGAGGCCGTGGGAAGAGCAGGTGTGGTGTGTTCGTGCACAGGAAGAGCCATGGTGGGCTGGAGCAGGGGGAATAACCGATAGGACGGGAGGCAGAGCACGGGGGACCTTGTCAGCCAACTTAAAGCCGCAGTGAGGCAGAGCTTCCGGGAGACTCCGCCTGACTGAAGCTTCACTGGGTCACTGGCTTCCCATTGGACTCAGGCTGCAAGGGACAGACACAAGCAGGAGGCCAGTGAGGCGGCTGTGGCCACAATTTCATGCAAATCCCTAAGTTGCTTGGACATAATTTGCTCTCTTGGGTACCTAAACTATTGTCTTGAAATCTTTCTCACACCACTGATTTTTCACAAGAGGAAACCTCAATCTGGCTTAGCCCATATTAACACTAATCATGAGGTAGTGAAATGTGAACTAGACGGTTTTCAAATTACAGGCACTTTTCAGTCCATTAAGACTCAGGTACGCGAAAGGAAGACTTCTGTGAGTCCTCATCCTCTGTTCTCTAGAGAGGGCTGCCCTTCTCGAGGCAAAATGTAACTCCTTTGTCTGAGAGCCTGAAATCAGTCACCTGTGAAAGTACAAGACTTGGATGATGTGTTGGCAGGGATCAAAGCAGCCCCAGAGAAGACACCCGCTGCGCTCTAACACGAGCGTCACTGACAAAGTAGGTAATGAACTGGCTGCCACTGAGGCGGTTGCTCCTCCTGCATGGAACCAAGTCCTCTGAATCCACCGTCGGGGGGCCTCCCATCCTCAGCAGAGGGAGGAGAATTAACAGTCTGCAGTGTCCAAGCTTTGTGCCTCAGACACACCTTCTCATGTAATCCCCACAGCGATCCTGTGAAATAGGTAATATCTCCACTTTACAGAAGAAATAGGGGCTCGGGAAGTATCGAAAGATCTCTGAAGGTCACACCACTTGTCCTTGGTGGGGCTGGGATTTGAACCAGGGTCAGCCAGGCTCCCGAGGCCCTCCAGTTCTACCTCTTCACTGGAATTGGTAGTGGCTAAGATCTAGCGTAATGTCCCATTGGAGATTGCCCCCAGAGCAAGAGGGAGATGGAGAATTTGGAGAATAGTCAGGCTGAAGGAATGAGACTAATTTAGCTTTAAGAAGAGACAGACAGGGGTAGGCAAGGCTCTGAAGAGGGGCTGTTAAATGCAGAATGGGCTAAGAAGAGAAGCCAGATGTGGGCTCAAACGGGAGCTCAAGTCACCGTATGAAAATGGGCAGGCCGTTGGGGGAGCCGCGAGGCAGCACCTCACAAGATGAAATTCTGAAGCAAATTTCCTATCACATAATCCCTTCACAGGCCTGAAATTTCCTCTTTTGCCTTAAAAATGGCATATGTGTATTCATTCTAAGACTTACTTCAACATAACCTGGCAGGGGGAACTGGACTAAGATTTTGACCAGTAACCATGAAAATCCTGAGATTTCAGGAATCCGACAAATCCTTCACCTGGAGCAGGATTCAGAAAGGAGGGCGGGAGTGCCAGGACCACTGTTCCTCAGTGAGCAATTCCCTATACTTTTCCAAATCTTGATCCCCAGGAGGCCTTAATAAGAGAAGGCGTTGGTCTGTGCTCTCCATTGAAGCGGCATGAGAAGGCACTCCCGTGTACAAAAGTGTTGGTAATCTGGAGTCTGGATGGGGCTTCAGCAGTCAATCAGCATTTCTATTGAGCAGGACAGATGCAAGGTGCTGTGGGGGTGAACATATACATATATTAGAGGTGGTCCTCTCTTTCAAAAACTTCATTATCTGATGGAAGATACAAAAGAAAATGACATGAAAAACAACACAAGAGATGTCACAAGATGGCGTTAAATGACAAAAGGGGCTCAGACATGCTCTGGGAATTCAGGTTTCCCAGGAAGTTCTCACGTCGGGGGGTGGGACATAAATAAGAGGTACAGGTTGGATGTGAATCTTGTGACGTGGAGAGAAAAATGGACAGAGGAGGTTGTGGGCAAGGGGGAAGGGAGAGTTTAGAGGTCATACCCTGTTCTTTCATTCTGTTGTTTCCTTCCTCGTAGCCTTGAGAAGGAAAATTATGACGTCTGGGCTAAGGTGGTGAGGCTCAATGAAGAACTGGAAAAGGAGAAGAAGAAGTTTGCAGCCTTGGAAATCAGCCTTCGCAATGTGGAGCGCTCCCGGGAGGACGTTGAGAGGAGGAACAAGGCCTTGGAAGAAGAAGTCAAGGAATTTGTCAAATCAATGAAGGAGTCCAAGACGGATGCGTGAGGGTGCCAGGAGTACTGCAGAGACAGCCCGCAGAGACCAAATACTGCTCCCTTTCTCGGTGCAACCTGATGACTGGGAAGCACAATTACTCCCTAGGAGGGAGAAGATATTGTGGGGCAAACATCACATTCCCTAGTAAATAAATCAATGGAGTTTGTAGGAGGATGAGACTGAACAGTGACATGTGTGGACATCTAAGACCCCCTGTGGCCAGATTCAAAAGGATTGCATTATTCCACAGTGGTCTCAGGCTGACTGAAATGGAACCTTCCATGACTGAATAGTTATGTGTGATGGAGACATTTGAGGCAGGCCACATCCCAGGCAACAGGCTGCCCCCAGCTGAGGCTGGACTGAGGCGTTAGTTGTTTGTTTTCTGTGTGGAACAACTTGCCTAATCAGATGGCACCAGGGCATCTCTGAGACACAGGTGCAGAAAATGACATTCAGCTTTTGAGTGCTGGTCCATGGTATGCTGTGTTTTCCAGGGGCTGCACCTGCTGAAGCCAGAGCCCTGTTCTGCCACCCCCACCACAATGCGTACTCTCCAGGAGTGATTATTAGACTAAGACAAAACAAGCAAGAAACTGTATTTATGAAAGCAAATCGATGAGAAAATTATATTCAAATAAAGCGAAAAAAAAAGGCAGGCTGTTGGTAATCCATGCAATGTGGGTGTTAGTAAGAGGCACCCTTCCTCAGGGCCAATGCTCCCCTTTCTGGTACATGGCACGGCAAGCAGAGCACAGACTGGATTCCAGTCCCTACTTGCCTTTCAGGGGCCACAGTTGTGTATGGCGGTCCTGGGAGCAAAGGCCTTCCCACCGTGATGTGACTTCCTGAGAGGCTGATTGGGGCTTTAGATAGTAACAGTCATGATAATATTTCTTCTGTTTGACCAAATATGCAAGTGATTCATCCTTTAAAGGGGCATGAGGCACTAGAGACGAGCTGAGAGAGGGGCTTTCCAAGCAGACAGCTGACATCTCCTACATTAAGCCAGCTTGGCCAAGGCCCCTTGGTGAGGCCCCAGGCTTTAATGGAGTCTTTAAAGGTTTTTGTCATTGTTCTAGTCAGGTGCTCTGCAAGCTCCTTTGACCGTGTACCCCATCAGTAGGAAATATTTGAGTATACATCCCCTAATATAAGTATATTTGTTTATTTATAAATTATATACGTGTACTATTGTATTAGCCAGCCCTGGTGGTCTAGTGGCTAAGATTTGGTTCTCTCACCGCCACGGCCCAGGTTCATTTCTGGGTCAGGGAACCACACCACCCATCTGTTGGTCCTCATACTATTGTGGCTGCATGTTGCTGTGAGGCTGAAAGCTATGCCACTGGTATTTCAAATACCAGCAGGGTCACCCAGGGTGGACAGGTTTCAGTGGAGCTTCCAGACTAAGACAGACGAGGCAGAAGGACTTGGCCACCCACTTCCGAAAAAACTGGCCATGAAGACTCTTATGAACAGCAGTGGAGCATTGTCTGATTAGCGCTGGATGGTGAGAGGATGGAGCAAAAAGACCGGGCAGATTCTGCTCTGCTGTACACAGGGTCGCTAGGAGCTGGAATAGACTCCACGGCACGAACAATAAAAACTACGATATTGCAATACCTTGTATATTATCAAACGTACCCAGGACAGAAATCGAATACTGATAAGATAAAAGCAAATATAAATAGATGTTCTCAAATGTGCTTTCAGCTCTGGAGGCCACTGGCCCGATTTCCCAGCAGGGATTCCTTCCTGCACAAGTTTTGCAGATGTCATCCCATTGCTCCCATCAATTTACTTGACCTCTTGAAGCCACATGGCTTAAGTAGTGGTCTGACAGATATGGTTGCCATGGTGAGAGTTTAGCCTTCCAAGCACGTGCATCTCCTCTGTGATTCTGTTTTCTTCCTTTGTTTTCTCACTTTTTCTTCCCTGGTTATTTTTCCCCGCCTGTGGGTGACGTATTACTCACAGAACGAAAGGTGCAGGCAGAGGGGCTCAGTGTTTCTCAGTGCTCCTCAGGCCCTGCTCCCCCCACCCCAGCCCCTGAGGACCAGACTGACAGAAGGCGGGGACGACACCTAGAGCGTTCTCTCAGAGGCCTGCTTGCAGACGATTGGGGGATGAGGGCAACAGATCTGGAGCACTGTTAAGTAGAGCAATAAAATATTTTATTTCCTAGGGTTTACTTGTTCTTTTAATTAGAGAGTAACAAACATGGAAACACTTACTGAACACAATTTATGTTGATGAGTGTCTGCTGTTCTACTGGGTGTATGTCCCCGGGTTCTCCCATGGGTTCCTCACACTGACTCTTTTTTTTTTTTCTTTCTGGAGGAAGATTAGCCCTAACCTAACGTCAACCGCCAATCCTCCTCTTTTTGCTGAGGAAGATTGGCCCTGAGCTAACATCCGTGCCTATCTTCCTCTATTTCGTATGTGGGGCGCCTGTCACAGCATGGCTTGACAAGTGGTGTGTAGGTCCGCGCCAGGATCCGAACCAGCGAACCCCGAGCCACCGAAGTGGAGCACGCAAACTTAACCGCTGCACCACCAGGCTGGCCCCTACCACCTGTACTTGTAAAGCCCTTGCATGGGCGGGATCTGCTAAATCCACCTTTTTCCAGCCACCCACCCTCTTCACCTTACCCCTTCTTCTACCTACACAGATACTGAGAACCTAAAAAGGTCCGCAACATGCACTTTAAAACTCCTTGCCCTCTTCCCTATCCAGATTCTTCATTTCCCTCACAGCCTCGAGTGTAGCACATCACAAGGCAATTTTCTCTTGAATTTGAAGCAGATCTGATGGTTTTCCAGTAAGTTTGTGCACTAGGTAAGACACTTTGTATTAGGGGGTTGCCTGGGGTGGTTCCCGTCTTCGTCCATTCCTGCTGCTATAGCAAGATACCACAGACTGGGTGCTGTTTATTTTTCACAGTTCTGGAGGCTGGAAGTCTGACATCAGGGTTGAGTGAGGGCCTTCTTCCAGGCTGCAGACTTCTTCTTGTATCCTGACATGGCAGAAGGGGCTAGAGTTCCCTGTGGGGTCTCTTATAGGTCATTAATCCCATTCATGAGGGCTCCACCCTTATGATCTATGCACCTCCCAGAGGCCCCACCTCCTAATACTATCATCTTTGGGAATTAGGATTTCTACATATGATTTGGGGGAGGCGGCACAAACATTCAGACCATAGCGATTTCCTTCCAGTGAATTTGGGTCAGAATCTAAGGCCTGGAGGGATTCCGTGACATCACTGGTACGGCGCCTGCTGCAGAGGATGTAAGTGATAAACAATAAACGTTTTTGTTGTTATTGTTTTGGCCAATTCTTTAAACCTTGCTCAGAGGCCCAGGCCCTCTGAAGAGCGTGAAGCAGGAGGCTCTGAGCAGCCCAAAGCTGCAGGGAGCGGGCGGACAAGGAGCATCACAGCACACAGCCGTTGGCTGCACTCCCCGGGCTCAAGACAGGGGGATGTGCGTACATTGCCATCGTGTAAACTTCCACATTCCACCACTTCCTCTGCAGATACCATCAGTGGTCAGGCCATGTGCTTGCTGGGGAGCGGACAGATCACTCAGAGGCTGCCCCTGCAATTCAAACGGGCTGCCTTTACAAGAATCGCATGAAAGCTTTCATCCTGCCGGAGAAGGCTGGGTGGAGGAAGGCCCCAAAGATAGAGATCAGCTGCTGCTCCAGGAGCCTAGGCAGGGAGCCAAGAGACCTGGAGCTACAAGGCCTGTAGCTCAGAAGGCTTCCCAGAGTGACTTCAGACAAAGAATGAACAGAGAGTATCAACATGGACGAGCAATATCAACCTCTCTTTCCTCTGATGCTTGAAAAGTATCAGCATCCTAAGATAACAGCACTGGAAGCACCCTGAGCTTATCAGATTTTGCCTGTTCATTTACTGGCTGGAGAAATGGAAGCCCAGAGACATAAGTTGAATTGCCAGTGCTCACACAGCAACAGGGAGGAAGATTAAAGTTAGGTGATTTTTAAGGGCTCCTTTAAGCCACTGTTCCATAATTCTTGTGATTCTTGGCTTCTATCCAAGAGTTCTTTTCCCCAGAATACAACCATGATGTGAAACCCATTGAACATCAGTTGCTGAGTGCTTCCAGAATGTAGAGCTGGGCTCAGCTTTTGGTCACAAGCAAGACCCACCAAGTAGGATGCCATTTTTCACCCACTTTGTATTACTGATACTGTTCTAAGACAGTGGTTCTTAGTCTTGGCTGCACAACAGAATCACCTTAAGGAGCTTTAAAAAAATTTTTGATGCTCAGATCCCACCCATATCAATTGAATCAGAATCTTGGGGTGTGGAGCCTAAGAATTTTTTTTTCTTAAAAAAAACTTCCCAGTTAATTCTAATATGCAGACAGGATTATTAAACATGGTTCTAAAACTGCTAAGTTTGGCTCCAGTCATGACTAATGATAATATTAAGCCCGTCTGTTCCCCTCTCCCATCTCTAATCAACACAGCTACACTCTGTGTCCTCCCTACATACTGGTTAATCATGTGTTCACTCAGTTAGGGTAAGAGATGCGGAAGAGATAGAAAATGGATTTGTGTTATATACCCATTTTTCAGTTGGGGAAAACTGAGCCCGAATATATAACTCAATGTAACTGTAGCTTAGTCATGAACAAATCTATGGAGTTTGAGATTTACCTAATATATGAGCGTCCTCTCAACTTGCTTTAAGGGTTGACTCTATACGTAGGCAAAGAAGGTAAGCAGTTGAGGGCTTGATTTAAAGAATCCTGAGAACAGCTCTGATTCAAACCATCTCCCTTTCAGACCCATCGTAGATCAAGAAATCTCTACCAGGAGGCTTTGGGATATTCACCACGAATGTGATATGATTGGGAGACAACCATGAAGCCTCTATTAATCACTAATATCCTCTTTATATTAGTTATCTGATTCCTAGCAGAGGGCTGTGTAATGAGAGAATGAGAGCCAGGCAAGATAAGTTGTGCTGTGGGTGGAGGGGTAGATGAGAGTACAGTGTGTCACCAAGGACTGTGCAGCGTGGAGGTGCTGGCCGCCTGAGAGGACAGGGCGTACGATCGGAGATGGGGTGAGGGGGCAGGGCCTTGAAAGAGGAAAGGGGATTCAGGCAGTAGAATGGGGAGCTGGTTTGCCCTCAAGCAAAGCTGACAGCTGGTCAAAGTTGGCTCTTTGACATCCTTTACTGCTCTCTCTTCTCCCCTTTACTGATTACTGTCTTCCCAGGGCTGCTGAGGGCCACCACCTTCCTGGATCATCCTGGATCCTTGATTGGCATCATCGTCTGCATCACAACAATAGCTACCATTAATAGGAACAAATATCATTTGCTCTCTGTCAGGCACTGTGCCAAGCATTTTGTACATGTCATCTCCTTTAAATCTGAAGTCTTTAGATTGAGTGCTACTCTACCTCTTTTATGGATTGAAATTGAAATTTCAATGCAGCAGACCTGGGAACTGAAATGAGTCTGTCCAAGTTCTTCAATGCTATATTGGCCCTGCCTTCATGTAGGGAAGAAGGGCAGCATGGAAAGCTACCTCTGAGTAATGACAGACTAAAATGAAATTTCCAAGGACTTGTTTTTTAAGAATAGAAGACTGATGAGGGCTCAGGAAAGAACCCCC